ACATCAGCAGGAGAGGACTCTTTAAAGTAGAGACACTACATACTGATATACACCTGAACATCAGCAGGAGAGGACTCTTTAAAGTAGAGACACTACATACTGATATACACCTGAACATCAGCAGGAGAGGACTCTTTAAAGTAGAGACACTACATACTGATATACACCTGAACATCAGCAGGAGAGGACTCTTTAAAGTAGAGACACTACACACTGATATACACCTGAACATCAGCAGGAGAGGACTCTTTAAAGTAGAGACACTACATACTGATATACACCTGAACATCAGCAGGAGAGGACTCTTTAAAGTAGAGACACTACGTACTGATATACACCTGAACATCAGCAGGAGAGGACTCTTTAAAGTAGAGACACTACATACTGATATACACCTGAACATCAGCAGGAGAGGACTCTTTAAAGTAGAGACACTACATACTGATATACTCCTGAACATCAGCAGGAGAGGACTCTTTAAAGTAGAGACACTACATACTGATGTACACCTGAACATCAGCAGGAGAGGACTCTTTAAAGTAGAGACACTACACACTGATATACACCTGAACATCAGCAGGAGAGGACTCTTTAAAGTAGAGACACTACATACTGATGTACACCTGAACATCAGCAGGAGAGGACTCTTTAAAGTAGAGACACTACATACTGATGTACACCTGAACATCAGCAGGAGAGGACTCTTTAAAGTAGAGACACTACATACTGATATACACCTGAACATCAGCAGGAGAGGACTCTTTAAAGTAGAGACACTACATACTGATATACACCTGAACATCAGCAGGAGAGGACTCTTTAAAGTAGAGACACTACATACTGATGTACACCTGAACATCAGCAGGAGAGGACTCTTTAAAGTAGAGACACTACATACTGATGTACACCTGAACATCAGCAGGAGAGGACTCTTTAAAGTAGAGACACTACATACTGATATACACCTGAACATCAGCAGGAGAGGACTCTTTAAAGTAGAGACACTACATACTGATATACACCTGAACATCAGCAGGAGAGGACTCTTTAAAGTAGAGACACTACATACTGATATACACCTGAACATCAGCAGGAGAGGACTCTTTAAAGTAGAGACACTACATACTGATATACTCCTGAACATCAGCAGGAGAGGACTCTTTAAAGTAGAGACACTACATACTGATGTACACCTGAACATCAGCAGGAGAGGACTCTTTAAAGTAGAGACACTACACACTGATATACACCTGAACATCAGCAGGAGAGGACTCTTTAAAGTAGAGACACTACATACTGATATACACCTGAACATCAGCAGGAGAGGACTCTTTAAAGTAGAGACACTACATACTGATATACACCTGAACATCAGCAGGAGAGGACTCTTTAAAGTAGAGACACTACATACTGATATACACCTGAACATCAGCAGAAGAGGACTCTTTAAAGTAGAGACACTACACACTGATATACACCTGAACATCAGCAGGAGAGGACTCTTTAAAGTAGAGACACTACACACTGATATACACCTGAACATCAGCAGGAGAGGACTCTTTAAAGTAGAGACACTACATACTGATACACCTGAACATCAGCAGGAGAGGACTCTTTAAAGTAGAGACACTACATACTGATATACACCTGAACATCAGCAGGAGAGGACTCTTTAAAGTAAGACACTACATACTGATATACACCTGAACATCAGCAGGAGAGGACTCTTTAAAGTAGAGACACTACACACTGATATACACCTGAACATCAGCAGGAGAGGACTCTTTAAAGTAGAGACACGACATACTGATATACACCTGAACATCAGCAGGAGAGGACTCTTTAAAGTAGAGACACGACATACTGATATACACCTGAACATCAGCAGGAGAGGACTCTTTAAAGTAGAGACACGACATACTGATATACACCTGAACATCAGCAGGAGAGGACTCTTAAAGTAGAGACACTACATACTGAAATACTCCTGAACATCAGCAGGAGAGGACTCTTTAAAGTAGAGACACTACATACTGATGTACACCTGAACATCAGCAGGAGAGGACTCTTTAAAGTAGAGACACTACACACTGATATACACCTGAACATCAGCAGGAGAGGACTCTTTAAAGTAGAGACACGACATACTGATATCATAGGAAATCCTACCATTATTGTTTTCACAGTTTCTCTCTTAACATTATGATAAAGACAGCAGGTTGTGTGTTGCAGGGCGAACAGCTGTTGTTGTAATGTTCCCGGTCAGACTGCCTGCACCTGTGTGTGAGTAACACTGGGTGCTTAAAGGGTTAAAATGTTTCAGTTATTAAACCTTTGAATCTCTTTCTCTCTAGGTGTGTTTTTCCAAGATGGCGGACGCCGAGGTGTCCCTCTCCCCCGCCCACTCTGCTATAAGCCCCGCCCTGGCTGCCCCCCCTCCCCCCCCTGGCGCCTCCTCCCCCACCACTTTCTCCTGCCCCTCCTCCCCCTCCAGCGCCTCCTCTTCCTCCTCCTCTTCATCCTCCTCCTGTTGTTCTGAGAGCTCTTCTGACTGCCCTCACCACCATCATCATCATCACCTTCATCACTCGCAGCGCCCCAAACTGCAGCCGCCTCCCCCCCCCCCACAGCGAGCAGCCCTCCTCCCCCAGTGCTAGCCCACGTAGCTCCTCTCCTAGCGGTAGCATCGGTAGCACAGGTAGCATTGGGAGCAGCAGCGAGTCGTCCAGAGGACAAACTCCTCCGTTGGACATCATCTCTGAGGACCACATGGAGATGGACCTGAGGGCGGACCAGGGTGAGGGACCAGACCAGGGTGAGGGACCAGACCAGGGTGAGGGGCCAGACCTTTTGATATCCTCATACTGTTATAACAATACGATTATACTTTAAAGGTCACCAATTATGCAAAATACACTTTTTCATGTCTTTTATACATAAATATAATAATTTAAGTTGCAAACAGATGGATGTTCTTTCAAAGGTTCAGGTGTTTAACAGTCAAACATGAAAAGGAGATGGACCTGGGGATCAGGGGACAGACACAGAGAATAACTAATTTGTTAGTCATGTTTTATTATCTTTGTGTTTTAAAATGCCAAAAAACATAAAAACGGATTTTGAAAATGATAATATTTGCACTTTGGGTAACGCTGCCTGAGGACGCCGCTGAGCTGAGCGTCAGGGTGCAAACACACAGGAGAACTATATACCCTGGTAGTTTGGATTGAAGTAGGAGGGTCCCATCAAACCCCAATGCTTAATGTGCGCTGGGCTGATTGGGTTCTGTTCAGGTCCTCACAGAGCGGCCCTTATTGGTCGCCGGCTCCTCTGGTTTCACTCTGTCGCTGCAACACTTAATTCTGCCTCTCTCTCTCCCTGACGCCTCGTTGCTCTGCTCTCAGTGATCGACCCTGAAGTGGCTCTGAAGGCGTGCCAGGAGGTGCTGCTCCAAGTGAAGCTGCAGAACAGAGAGCTGTGTGAGCAGCAACACGTGGACAACAAACGGGAACAACAACAACAACAACAACAACAGGACGATCATCAACAACAACAACAGGACGATCAGCAACAACAACAACAGGACGATCATCAACAACAACAACAGGACGATCAGCAACAACAACAACAGGACGATCATCAACAACAACAACAGGACGATCATCAACAGCAACAACAACAACAGCAACTGGATGATCAAAAACGACGACAACAACAACAGGGCGATCATCAACAACAACAACAACAGGACGATCATCAACAGCAACAACAACAGGAAGATCATCATCAACAACAGGACGATCATCAGCAGCAGCAACAACAACAACAACAGCAACTAGATGATCAAAAACGACAGCAACCACAACAACAGGGCGATCAACAACAACAACAACAAACGGAGATCTCTGGTCCTCAGTGGGTCATCAGCCCGGACACCAGCTCCATCAAGGAGGAAGACGAGGAGGAAGTAGAAGAAGGTAGTTCTGTGAAAGATGAAGTAAAACAAAATGGCGTTTCTTCCCAGCGAGACGCTCCTCCTCCTTCCTCTTCTTCATCCTCTCGACCTGAGTCTTCCTCGCTGCTCGCTACCCCCTCTTCCTCCAAACAGTCGTGGCTGCTCCGCCTGTTCGAGTCCAAGCTGTTTGACGTCTCCATGGCGATCTCCTACCTGTATAAATCCAAAGAGCCGGGGGTGCAGGCGTACATCGGGAACCGTCTGTTCAGCTTCACCGACAGCGAGGTGGACTTCTACCTCCCTCAGCTACTCAACATGTACGTGCACATGGACACGGAGGTGGGGGACGCCATCAGCCCCTACCTGGTGAGTAAACTAAAGATTACAGCTACCATCAGCCCCTACCTGGTGAGTCCTGTTCTCTATAGATTACAGTTAGCATCAGCCCCTACCTCGTGAGTAAACCATAGATTACAGCTAGCATCAGCCCCTACCTGGTGAGTCCTGTTCTCTATAGATTACAGTTAGCATCAGCCCCTACCTGGTGAGTAAACCATAGATTACAGCTAGCATCAGCCCCTACCTGGTGAGTAAACTATAGATTACAGTTAGCATCAGCCCCTACCTGGTGAGTAAACTATAGATTACAGCTAGCATCAGCCCCTACCTGGTGAGTAAACCATAGATTACAGCTAGCATCAGCCCCTACCTGGTGAGTAAACTATAGATTACAGCTAGCATCAGCCCCTACCTGGTGAGTAAACTATAGATTACAGTTAGCATCAGCCCCTACCTGGTGAGTAAACTATAGATTATAGTTCGCATCAGCCCCTACCTGGTGAGTAAACCATAGATTACAGCTAGCATCAGCCCCTACCTGGTGAGTAAACCATAGATTACAGCTAGCATCAGCCCCTACCTGGTGAGTAAACCATAGATTACAGCTAGCATCAGCCCCTACCTGGTGAGTAAACTATAGATTACAGTTAGCATCAGCCCCTACCTGGTGAGTAAAACCATAGATTACAGCTAGCATCAGCCCCTACCTGGTGAGTAAACCATAGATTACAGCTAGCATCAGCCCCTACCTGGTGAGTAAACCATAGATTACAGCTAGCATCAGCCCCTACCTGGTGAGTAAACTATAGATTACAGTTAGCATCAGCCCCTACCTGGTGAGTAAACCATAGATTACAGTTAGCATCAGCCCTACCTGGTGAGTAAACCATAGATTACAGTTAGCATCAGCCCCTACCTGGTGAGTAAACCATAGATTACAGCTAGCATCAGCCCCTACCTGGTGAGTAAACTATAGATTACAGTTAGCATCAGCCCCTACCTGGTGAGTAAACCATAGATTACAGTTAGCATCAGCCCCTACCTGGTGAGTAAACCATAGATTACAGCTAGCATCAGCCCCTACCTGGTGAGTAAACCATAGATTACAGTTAGCATCAGCCCCTACCTGGTGAGTAAACTATAGATTATAGTTCGCATCAGCCCCTACCTGGTGAGTAAACTATAGATTACAGTTAGCATCAGCCCCTACCTGGTGAGTAAACTATAGATTACAGTTAGCGTTAGCATCAGCCCCTACCTGGTGAGTAAACTATAGATTACAGTTAGCATCAGCCTCTACCTGGTGAGTAAACTATAGATTGCAGTTAGAATCAGCCCCTACCTGGTGAGTAAACTATAGATTACAGTTAGCATCAGCCCCTACCTGGTGAGTAAACTATAGATTATAGTTCGCATCAGCCCCTACCTGGTGAGTAAACTATAGATTACAGTTAGCATCAGCCCCTACCTGGTGAGTAAACTATAGATTATAGTTCGCATCAGCCCCTACCTGGTGAGTAAACTATAGATTACAGCTAGCATCAGCCCCTACCTGGTGAGTAAACTATAGATTACAGCTAGCATCAGCCCCTACCTGGTGAGTAAACTATAGATTACAGTTAGCGTCAGCCTCTACCTGGTGAGTAAACTATAGATTACAGCTAGCATCAGCCTCTACCTGGTGAGTAAACCATAGATTACAGTTAGCATCAGCCCCTACCTGGTGAGTAAACCATAGATTACAGTTAGCATCAGCCCCTACCTGGTGAGTAAACCATAGATTACAGCTAGCATCAGCCCCTACCTGGTGAGTAAACCATAGATTACAGTTAGCATCAGCCCCTACCTGGTGAGTAAACTATAGATTACAGCTAGCATCAGCCCCTACCTGGTGAGTAAACCATAGATTACAGCTAGCATCAGCCCCTACCTGGTGAGTAAACTATAGATTACAGCTAGCATCAGCCCCTACCTGGTGAGTAAACTATAGATTACAGTTAGCATCAGCCCCTACCTGGTGAGTAAACTATAGATTACAGTTAGCATCTTAGCCCCTACCTGGTGAGTAAACCATAGATTACAGTTAGCATCAGCCCCTACCTGGTGAGTAAACCATAGATTACAGCTAGCATCAGCCCCTACCTGGTGAGTAAACTATAGATTACAGCTAGCATCAGCCCCTACCTGGTGAGTAAACTATAGATTACAGTTAGCATCAGCCCCTACCTGGTGAGTAAACTATAGATTACAGTTAGCATCTTAGCCCCTACCTGGTGAGTAAACCATAGATTACAGTTAGCATCAGCCCCTACCTGGTGAGTAAACTATAGATTACAGTTAGCATCAGCCCCTACCTGGTGAGTAAACTATAGATTACAGTTAGCATCAGCCCCTACCTGGTGAGTAAACCATAGATTACAGTTAGCATCAGCCCCTACCTGGTGAGTAAACCATAGATTACAGCTAGCATCAGCCCCTACCTGGTGAGTAAACTATAGATTACAGTTAGCATCAGCCCCTACCTGGTGAGTAAACCATAGATTACAGTTAGCATCAGCCCCTACCTGGTGAGTAAACCATAGATTACAGCTAGCATCAGCCCCTACCTGGTGAGTAAACTATAGATTACAGCTAGCATCAGCCCCTACCTGGTGAGTAAACCATAGATTACAGTTAGCATCAGCCCCTACCTGGTGAGTAAACCATAGATTACAGCTAGCATCAGCCCCTACCTGGTGAGTAAACCATAGATTACAGCTAGCATCAGCCCCTACCTGGTGAGTAAACCATAGATTACAGCTAGCATCAGCCCCTACCTGGTGAGTAAACTATAGATTACAGCTAGCATCAGCCCCTACCTGGTGAGTAAACTATAGATTACAGTTAGCATCAGCCCCTACCTGGTGAGTAAACTATAGATTACAGTTAGCATCTTAGCCCCTACCTGGTGAGTAAACCATAGATTACAGTTAGCATCAGCCCCTACCTGGTGAGTAAACCATAGATTACAGCTAGCATCAGCCCCTACCTGGTGAGTAAACTATAGATTACAGCTAGCATCAGCCCCTACCTGGTGAGTAAACTATAGATTACAGTTAGCATCAGCCCCTACCTGGTGAGTAAACTATAGATTACAGTTAGCATCTTAGCCCCTACCTGGTGAGTAAACCATAGATTACAGTTAGCATCAGCCCCTACCTGGTGAGTAAACTATAGATTACAGCTAGCATCAGCCTCTACCTGGTGAGTAAACTATAGATTACAGCTAGCATCAGCCCCTACCTGGTGAGTAAACTATAGATTACAGCTAGCATCAGCCCCTACCTGGTGAGTCCTGTTCTCTATAGATTACAGTTAGCATCAGCCCCTACCTGGTGAGTCCTGTTCTCTATAGATTACCGTTAGCATCAGCCCCTACCTGGTGAGTCCTGTTCTCTATAGATTACCGTTAGCATCAGCCCCTACCTGGTGAGTCCTGAGACGACTTTCTGTTGGTTTCTGACTGTAGAAGTTTGTTGACTTCACTTCACCTGAGTCGAGTGTCTGTTATCTAAACTTCTACAGTCGGTCGGACTCGACTTGGATACTTGGCATTGTTTTGGCATTTGTCCTGGATGAGGTTCTGTTTACCTGGTGGGCGTTCCCTTTGGCTGAATAGGTTCCAGTTGTCCTGGATGAGGTTCTTGTTGGTCTAACGGGGGTTTGATTGGTTTAGCAAAGATTACAGTTAGGACGTTTTTCCTTGTCCGATGTGAGGGTCAGAGGACAGAGGCTGTCGTATTGATATTCTCTACAAACTGTAAAGTCCACTGAGACGAAGGTAACATTGATTGATTGATTTGTCTCTCTTAGATCCACCGCTGTCGAGGAGGCATCACCTTCTCCCTGCTGACGGCCTGGCTGCTGGGAGCGTATTCCTCTGACATGCACATCTCCACCCAGCGTCACTCCAGAGGAAACAAGCTGCGGAAACTCATCCTGTCCGACGAGCTGAAGCCCTCTAACCCTCCAGCTGATCCTCACCGCGGGGGGTCTGTCTCCGGCAGCCCCTCTCCGTCTCATCGCCGCTGCCACCGCCGCCACAACAGCAACAACAACGTGGACTCAGCGTCTCCGTTTCCCCCCCCAGAGAGTCCCGTTCTGGGGGAGGGCGAGGTGATCGTCTCCCCCTCCAGGAAGACCCACCAGAGGTCAAAGTCTGATGTGAACACAGCCAGCAGTGGGTTTGGATCCGGCCTCAGGAGGACAGGAAGTAACCCCAGAGTGGAGGCCGTGCCGGAGGAGGTGAGGCTTTTATTTAGAAACTCGTCTCAGAACCAGGTTTATCACCAGGTAGCATGACACGTACGAGGAATTTCACTTGGTGTTATGGTGCATACATAAAAGTCAAACAAAAAGTGAAACTATTTAACTCATTGTAGGGAGCTGGGATTTATAAAAGTTAAATAAAATACTGAGATTTTCTTTTTGAAAGTCATCTCAGTGTTGGGAGTGTTTGGTTTTATAAAAGTTAAATACTAAGGCTTTTATTTAGTAACTAAACAGTTAAATAAAGTACTGCCACTATTAGAGAGACAGGCCAAGATGATAATGAACATATATACTGTAAATATATATATATATATATATAATTAACCCGTGATATCTCCTCTCTGCAGCTGGAGCGTCTTCGGCCTCAGAGAGAACTGGTGAAGTCTCTGCTGGGCATCGGGAGGCGTTTGGCGACGCTGCCGACCAAAGAGCAGAAGACTCAGCGTCTGATCTCTGAACTCTCGCTGCTGAACCACAAGCTGCCCGCTCGAGTCTGGATGCCCACGGCTGAGAACCAGCATCACGTCGTCAGGATCCCAAACACCCAGGCTGTGGTGCTCAACTCCAAGGACAAGGTAACACCGTTAGCTTAGCATAGAGACAAGGTAACACCGTTAGCTTAGCATAGAGACAAGGTAACACCGTTAGCTTAGCATAGAGACAAGGTAACACCGTTAGCTTAGCATAGAGACAAGGTAACACCGTAAGCTTAGCATAGAGACAAGGGAACACCGTAAGCTTAGCATAGAGACAAGGTAACACCGTAAGTTTAGCATAGAGACAAGGTAACACCGTTAGCTTAGCATAGAGACAAGGTAACACCGTTAGCCTAGCTTAGGAAACACAGGTAGAAACTGTTAGCCTAGCTTAGGAAACACAGGTAGAAACTATTAGCCTAGCTTAGGAAACACAGGTAGAAACTGTTAGCCTAGCTTAGGAAACACAGGTAGGAACTGTTAGCCTAGCTTAGGAAACACAGGTAGGAAACTGTTAGCCTAGCTTAGGAAACACAGGTAGAAACTGTTAGCCTAGCTTAGGAAACACAGGTAGAAACTGTTAGCCTAGCTTAGGAAACACAGGTAGTAACTGTTAGCCTAGCTTAGGAAACACAGGTAGAAACTGTTAGCCTAGCTTAGGAAACACAGGTAGGAACTGTTAGCCTAGCTTAGGAAACACAGGTAGGAACTGTTAGCCTAGCTTAGGAAACACAGGTAGGAACTGTTAGCCTAGCTTAGGAAACACAGGTAGGAACTGTTAGCCTAGCTTAGGAAACACAGGTAGGAACTGTTAGCCTAGCGTAGGAAACACAGGTAGAAACTGTTAGCCTAGCTTAGGAAACACAGGTAGAAACTGTTAGCCTAGCTTAGGAAACACAGGTAGGAACTGTTAGCCTAGCTTAGGAAACACAGGTAGGAACTGTTAGCCTAGCTTAGGAAACACAGGTAGGAACTGTTAGCCTAGCTTAGGAAACACAGGTAGGAACTGTTAGCCTAGCTTAGGAAACACAGGTAGGAACTGTTAGCCTAGCGTAGGAAACACAGGTAGAAACTGTTAGCCTAGCTTAGGAAACACAGGTAGGAACTGTTAGCCTAGCTTAGGAAACACAGGTAGGAACTGTTAGCCTAGCTTAGGAAACACAGGTAGGAACTGTTAGCCTAGCTTAGGAAACACAGGTAGAAACTGTTAGCGTACAGTTTTAACGGATAGAGCTGTGTTCCAGGCTCCCTACCTCATCTACGTGGAGGTTCTGGAGTGCCAGAGCTATGAAACGTCTCCGGTTCCGACCCGGATCCCAGAGACCAGGATCCGCTCGGCTCGATCCGCGGAGAGCCTGGACTGCGGCGTCTCCGCGGCTAATGCTAATTCTAACCTCAGCACGATGACATCAGAGCATCGAGCCGGAAGCTTCTCTACCGTCCCGAACTACGACAACGACGACGAGGCCTGGGCGACCGACGACATCGGGCAGCTGCAGGTGGAGGTGAGGTGTAATTTAGATATAATAAGAACTACTTTATTTATTTTTTAATTTATGTTATTATTATTATTATTATTATTATTATACAGTTAGAAACTCTCCCTAGTCCCCGGTTTAGCTTCAGCCTCAGGATCCATGTGTCTGTGATCCTCTCCAGGATGGAAGGAGTCATCACATACAGAGCATCAACTAGTTCCTGAACAGTGTCCTTCACATGCTGATATCCAAGAGAGGGAGTTACACAGTCACAAGATGGAGGAATAGAAAGCAGTATTCAAGGGTTACTTCAGATTAGCTCCACGTCAGAAATGAGCATGCTTGATGTCTCTCTCCATAGAGGCTGAACCATCATGTTAATCACATAGCTATCATCTGCCTCAAACAGTCCTGATGCTCTTCTAGGTAATCACACATCCTGTCATGTTCACAGCTACAGTTGGGATACGATACGATAATACTTTATTTGTCAGATCAAGTCTGAAATGTGACTTGCGTCACAGCAGCTCCATGTCCAACATCAACAGACAAGTATCCAGACACAACACATGAAACACAAACAACAAACATTTAACATCACAGCATAATCAGTGAGAGAAAAGCTGCTCAAAGAGATTTCAGCGAGTATCTGATCTGGGATCAGCTCTGTGTTCACTGAGAGGACTGACTGATGCACAAAGGATGCTTCAGTGTGACCTTATTGAATGGTGGGACCCTGTGTCTCCATCAGATGGTAGCAGCTCATGCTCTCTGGTCAGAGCATGGTTCAGAGAGGATGTGGTTGCACAGCCTCACTAGTCATGAGTCATAGAGTCTCTCACAGGTGGACCAACGATCTTTGAGCAGATGTTTAACAGGTGGAGCAGTTTTGATTTGAAAGCTGCTGACAAACAGTTGTACCAGGTAGCGTTGCAGTGCTGCAGAATGGACATGATCACAGATGCAAAGAACAACAGAAGAGTTTCTCTGCTCGCCCCAAAAGACCTGAGACGGCCGAGAAAATACATTCTTTGTTTTGTCCTTTTGCTCAGATATTCAATGTGATCCTTCCATGACAGCAGACGCTCAATCATTACACCCACGTGTTTGTATGAAACTCCCTGCTTGATTTCATCTGTGTGGATGACCATGGGACTTTATGGGAGTCAGATGGTGAGCCAAAAACAACAACAAGAGCATTGCTATCAGTCCACTCCACCACCTGATGTCCAGCCTGTTGGTGCAGCTCAGGGTCGTCTGTGTTACTGAGCAGAGATATCATTCAGTTTCATCAGAGTACTTCATGATGACTTGGTTTGGTGTGTTGGTAGAGAGTAAAGAGCACAGCTGAACTCACGCAGCCCTGGGGGGGGGGGGGGGCTACATTGGTTGTGATGACAGGGTTTTGTTAACCTTCACAAGTTGCTCTCTACTGGTGAGGAAAGCAGCATACCAGTAAATCAGGTATGGATTTACTTCCATTTTGGCCATTTTTGACCCCAAGATGTCTGCTTGTATTGTGTTGAATGCTGCTGAGAGGTCTAGGAAGAGGGCTCTTGCTCATGTTGCGTTTATCTAAATGTTTAGTGATGTGAACCAGAGTGGCCACAGCGTCTTCCGTACCGCACGCTTGCTTATAGGCCAATTGGTATGGATCCAGTTTGTCTTGTTTTGTACTGATAAGAAATCGGAGCAGAATTCTTTCTAGTGATTTCATAATCCCTGAGGTGAGGGCTATTGGTCTGCAGTCCTCATGTTCTTTTGGGCAGCGGTTTGATGTGTGGAGTGTCCCATGGCAGAGGGATGGTGTGTGTAGTGTCCCATGGCAGAGGGATGGTGTGTGAAGTGTCCCATGGCAGAGGGATGGTGTGTGAAGTGTCCCATGGCAGAGGGATGGTGTGTGAAGTGTCCCATGGCAGAGGGCTGGTGTGTGGAGTGTCCCATGGCAGAGGGATGGTGTGTGGAGTGTCCCATGGCAGAGGGATGGTGTGTGAAGTGTCCCATGGCAGAGGGATGGTGTGTGGAGTGTCCCATGGCAGAGGGATGGTGTGTGAAGTGTCCCATGGCAGAGGGATGGTGTGTGGAGTGTCCCATGGCAGAGGGATGGTGTGTGGAGTGTCCCATGGCAGAGGGATGGTGTGTGAAGTGTCCCATGGCAGAGGGGATGGTGTGTGAAGTGTCCCATGGCAGAGGGATGGTGTGTGGAGTGTCCCATGGCAGAGGGATGGTGTGTGGAGTGTCCCATGGCAGAGGGCTGGTGTGTGGAGTGTCCCATGGCAGAGGGATGGTGTGTGAAGTGTCCCATGGCAGAGGGATGGTGTGTGAAGTGTCCCATGGCAGAGGGATGGTGTCAATGGAAGCGTCCCATGGCAGAGGGATGGTGTCAATGGAAGCGTCCCATGGCAGAGGGATGGTGTGTGGAGTGTCCCATGGCAGAGGGATGGTGTGTGGAGTGTCCCATGGCAGAGGGATGGTGTGTGGAGTGTCCCATGGCAGAGGGATGGTGTCAATGGAAGCCTGAAAGGTGCGTGGCCTCACTGGAGCCAGCTCAGCAGCAACGCTTCTCAGCAGGAAGCCGCTGCATCCATCTGGCCCAGCCGCTGTCTTGGTGTTGGTGCACTGAAAGGTTTTTCTGACCTCTTCGACTCTGATGGTCATTTTGTCAGAGGAAGCAGGGATTATGGTTTCCAGCATTTCAGTGCACTTTGCAGAATTATCCAGTGACTCCAAACGGGTAAAGAACGTGTTTAGTTCGTTAGCAAAACTAAATTCATTGTTCGTCACAATAGGTTTAGCTGAGGATGACATGCCTGTCATGGTTCTCATGGTGTCCCACACCTTTTGGGGTTTTGGCTTTAAAAGCATTTTCCAAAAACTCTCTGTGTCAGTTTTGATTCCCTCAATTTGACTTCCAGTTCTCTCTCTGTCTGTCTCAGTCTCAGTGCTCCATAGGCTTTGTTTTTGAAAGCTATTTTCCTGCTCTTTATAACGGTTTTAATGTCCTTAGTCACAAAAGATGTATTATTTGGATAGATTTGTATTTCTTTAGTGGGAACAACTAGTTCTACACAGAAGTTGATATAGTCGTTGGTAACAGTAGTTATTTTATCGAGTGAACCTTCTTGAAAAATGTCCCAATCCGTCCAATCAAACCTTTGTTATCAAGCTACTCTCATGTACAGTATGCAGGTGGAGGTAGAGATCTGCAGACAAATGAATGCTATCAGATCATTATTCTGACTGTATTTATTGTAATGAATATGATAATGTGTGTCCAGGTGGAGGCTCAGACCAGCAGCTCTGATAACATCAGTCAGTTTTCAGTGGACAGCATCACGAGTCTGGAGAGCCGAGAGCCGGTGTTCATCGCCGCCGGAGACATCAGGTACTATATATATATATATCAGGGTTTCCGTTAGCCGGCAATTACCGTTTTTTAGCTGGTAAAATTTAATAAAAACCGGTAAATTCAAAACCTGCCGGTCAAAATGTCCGACGCTCCTATCGATTGGCCGCCGATCATTATCGGCCGATATTCACTCTTAATAGTTTGATCTGTGCTCTCTATAAAGGCCGACCAGGAGAGCTGGATCTGATCGATATGGACATAAACGCGAATGAAGTGTAACAGGACACGAGAGAGAGATCAGATCAGCTGCTGCATAATCACCTGAAGCCCCGCCCACTGTTTAGCGAGCTGCATGAGAAACTGACGGGCTGTCAGGAGAGAGAGGGAGAGGGGAAAAGAGAGGATCCGTTTCTCCCGTGTTATTATTCAAAGTTAATGTAAACTTTTGAATAATGTACGTTATCTACTACAAGTAGTTTGTTTGAATGTAATAATTATGGTGTTTGTTGTTTGCGGAATCATTTATTGAAAAATGAATCTGAATTTTTCCGATCTGTTACGATTATAAACTGAAGCAATATAAAAATGACTCCCATTAAATGAGTTTTAAACATCAGCATATCCGGTCCTAATCCGGTAATTACCTGCTAACGGAAACTCTGCTACACAATTATTTTATTATTATTGAAACATGACCGGTAAGTTTCAAATTTGTCCGGTAAAATAAATTCTGTCCGGACATTTGACCGGCGAGAAAAAATCCTAGCGGAAACCCTGATATATATATATATATATATATATATATATATATATATATATATATATATATATATATATATATATATATATATATTAGGGCCGGGACTCGATTAAAAAAATTAATCTAATTAATTAGAGGCTTTGTAATTAATTAATCGAAATTAATCGCATTTTTAATCACATATAAATATTTGACCTGAGAACAGTGAGAAGCAATTTTTTTTCACATGGATTTTAGTATACCATTAGGCGCATTCACACCGCAGTACTTTTCCCACAAAGGTTCATGAGAATTTAGTTCATGTGAACTCTTTGAACCTGGGGGAGGATTAGGCAAATGAAGCCGCTGACGTCACTTCTTCTTCTTCTTCTGCTTTGGGTTTACTGGCAGGCCGCAAACCACTTCACGGCGTATACTGCCGCCCAAAGTCCCCGGCCGGAAGTCCCCGGAGTTGGGGAAGGCTTCAGTGGAAGCTGCTGGGAGTCCCAGCAGCTTCTACTGAAGCCTTCTGAGTAAATCGCCAGAACGCCGACACCTCCTCATCTCCACCGCTCCCATGTTTTATTTTGTGTTGCCATAAGTTAGTCTCTCTGCGTTTCTGCGCTGGGCTAATGCTAATAATGCTAATGCGAGGATAATAAAATGGCGGCTTCACAAAACTTTTTGGGAGTTTTACGGGGTGTGGTTTGCAATCCTTCCAGCCAATCAGACATATAGCTATTTTCTCACAAGAGAGCCGCACGAAAGTCCCTGCTCTCTAGCAGCTCTCTGCTCTCTAGCAGGGACTTTCGTGGGGGTAAAAAGGTTCTCATGAACTAATTTTAGTACCGGCTCTTTTTGGTGTGAACGCGATAAAAGAGGCTAACGTCCACGCTAGCTTCCACACCAGCTGCTATATGTTTTGCATTGAGGTGATACTTGAGGCTTGATGTGCTGCGGTGATATGCGAATTCCTTTTTGCATAATTTGCACACAACCGTGCTCTTATCGACGCTTCCATCCGTCCGTTTTTTAAAACAACATTTCCCACTGTTGTTCACTGTGGTTTGTTGTTGTCTGAAGTCATGAACGTTAGTTGGTGCTCCAGTATAATCGGTACGCCTGAAACTCATCCAGTGAGAAACGTTCCGCGGTGCAAAAATAAGTGCGATTAAAATGCGTTAATTTTTTTGTAATTAATTAATCTTAATTAACGCGTTAAAGTCCCGGCCCTAATATATATATATATACACACACTAAGTACTGCTCATTGCATTCTTTAATTCCCATAAAACCCAGTATTTTTTTTTACTTTAAAGGTCTCCTATCATCCTCTTATCACAGGTCTCAGATATATCCAGAGCCTCTCTCTGATTGGCTGAAACACCAAACAGATCATTGCAGCATTACCCATAATGCCCTCTGTTTCAGCCCTGTTTCCAAAGTGCTGATTCTCTGTCTGTGACTTTAGATGAAAATAAGGAGCCCCTCCCCACGCCCCTCTGAGAGACATCTGGTTACAAAGAACTCGATAGAGAACCGCAGTGACGTGTCCTAAAACCCGGAAGTAAGTTAGCATTTTTACCACTTCCGGTTCCTTCGATAAAAAGCAACGGGATCTCTCCGTAGGGTTATGGAAAATAGCTCAAAACAAGGTCTGTGGTTGAGACACATTGAAGAGACGGGTCACGTTTTGTTCTAGGACATTAAATCATCAGCAGTGACCCCACTGTGATTTCTGAAGAGTGGACATGTCTGAGAAACGATGGTTGTTACCAAGTGGCTGAATAGGACTACAGAAGTCGTGGAGGCCGTTGTACGTCATTACGCCGAACACGTGAACACTCCTCTGAGTTAGTTTCTGTTCTGCTTGAAAGCAAGTCCCTGCCTCCTGCAGACTGTTCAAACGCTTCAACTCGTTCCATTCAGAATCTGTGTGTTTGAATTAGGGATGCCAGTGATTATTCGATTAATCGTTACAGTCGCCATCATCGAGGATTATTTTTATAAATCGATTTTTTTATTATTATTTATGTTTTTTTTTTTTTTTTTTCTGGCTTAGTTTCAACCAGAATACTAATGCTAATAATAGTAATAGTATTAACAATTGTAAATGGCCATTGGTCACACCACCAGTTTGTTTTACTGTAAACTTGGAGGAAGCCTTCGTGCAGAGCAGACTGCTGCTGCAGCACGCTACACACCGCCCCCGGGGTCGGTCGATTAATCGATTAATCGATTATTATTCGCCAGGGCTGCCGAATAATCGATTTTGATCATGGTCAGTTTCTGGCAACCCTAGTTTGAATATGGATCTGAAGTCGGCGTGACGTTGAAGCAGCGACTCGGCTGTAGTTCCTTTATAGCATAACGTTAGCATTTTGCTTCTGGACATTAGATTTATGATTGGAACATTATAAAAGTAGACATGTGGAGATTATCCGGCTGAACAAAACGTGATCCGTCTCTTCAATGTGTTTCAACCACAGACCTGATTTCCAGCTATTTTCCAAAATCCTATGGAGAAATTGCATTGCGTTTTTGTCGAAGGAACCGGAAGGAGTTTACTTCCGGGTTTTAGGACTCGTCACTGCGGTTCTCTATAGCCGCATTCACACCAAGTACTTTGCCGTACTTAGTATCCCCAGGGCACTAAGTGCAGATCGCGTTCTCACCGGAATAAGTTCCTGAGGGAGGATTAGGCAAATGAGCCGCTGACGTCACTTCTTCTTCTTCTGCTTTGGGTTTACTGGCAGGCCGCAAACCACTTCACGGCGTATACTGCCACCCGCTGCTGGGACTCCCAGCAGCTTCTACTGAAGCCTTCCGAGTAAATCGCCAGAACGCCGACACCTCCTCATCTCCACCGCTCCCATGTTTTCTTTTGTGTTGCCATAAGTTAGTCTCTCTCCGTTGGTGCGCGATGCTAATGCTAACAATGCTAATGCCAGCAAATAAAATGGCGGCTTCACAAAACTTTTCCGAGTTTTACGGGGCGTGGTTTGCAATCCGCCCAGCCAATCAGAAATGTGTAATTTTTTCTCCCCAGTGACTGAAAATGGGGGTAAAAGTTCTCTGAACTAAGTTCTCTTTTTGGTGTGAACGCAAAATTCCAGGCACTAACGGAACTAAACGGGAAAAGTAGAAGAGGGGACACATGTTGATGTAGAAGAGACATGAAGAAGAGGGGACACATGTTGATGTAGAAGAGACATGAAGAAGAGGGGACACATGTTGATGAAGAAGAGACATGAAGAAGAGAGGACACATGTTGATGTAGAAGAGAGGACACATGTTGATGTAGAAGAGACATGAAGAAGAGGGGACACATGTTGATGTAGAAGAGACATGAAGAAGAGGGGACACATGTTGATGTAGAAGAGACATGAAGAAGAGAGGACACATGTTGATGTAGAAGAGACATGAAGAAGAGGGGACACATGTTGATGTAGAAGAGACATGAAGAAGAGGGGACACATGTTGATGTAGAGAGACATGAAGAAGAGGGGACACATGTTGATGTAGAAGAGACATGAAGAAGAGGGGACACATGTTGATGTAGAAGAGACATGGAGAAGAGGGGACACATGTTGATGTAGAAGAGACATGAAGAAGAGGGGACACATGTTGATGTAGAAGAGACATGGAGAAGAGGGGACACATGTTGATGGAGAAGAGACCTAAAGAAGAGGGGACACATGTTGATGGAGAAGAGACATGAAGAAGAGGGGACACATGTTGATGTAGAAGAGACATGAAGAAGAGGGGACACATGTTGATGTAGAAGAGACATGAAGAAGAGGGGACACATGTTGATGTAGAAGAGACATGAGGAAGAGGGGACACGTGTTGTTGTAGAAGAGACATGAAGAAGAGGGGACACATGTTGATGTAGAAGAGACATGGAGAAGAGGGGACACATGTTGATATAGAAGAGGGGACACATGTTGATATAGAAGAGACATGGAGAAGAGGGGACACATGTTGATATAGAAGAGACATGAAACATGTTGATGTAGAAGAGACATGAAGAAGAGGGGACACATGTTGATGGAGAAGAGACATGAGGAAGAGGGGACACATGTTGACGTAGAAGAGACATGAAGAATAACATTTAAAATAAAGTGTTCTCATTGGTTCTCCTGTTCTCAGGCGGCGCCTCTCGGAGAACCTCGCCCAGACGCCCACTTCGTTCCGCAGAGATCCTGAGGATCCGTCTGCCGTCGCCCTGAAGGAACCCTGGGAGGAGAAAGTCAGGTGAGATGCGCTCTGATGATGTCATGATCCTCACCGTTCAATGGTTAATATCTCAGGCGTTGTTTACCTAAAAACATAAAGAAGTACTTTATTGATCCCAATGTTTGCATTGCAGCAGCTTAAAAACACAAGGCATTGAACGTGTGTGTGTGTGTGTGTGTGTGTGTGTGTGTGTGTGTGTGTGTGTGTGTGTGTGTGTGTGTGTGTGTGTGTGTGTGTGTGTGTGTGTGTGTGTGTGTGTGTGTGTGTGTGTGTGTGTGTGTGTGTGTGTGTGTGTGTGTGTGTGTGTGTGTGTGTGTGTGTGTGTGTGTGTGTGTGTGTGTGTGTGTGTGTGTGTGTGTGTGTGTGTGTGTGTGTGTGTGTAGTAGGATCAGGGAGGGCTCTCCCTACGGTCACCTGCTGAACTGGAGGCTGCTCTCAGTGATCGTGAAGTGTGGAGACGACCTGAGGCAGGAGCTGCTGGCCTATCAGGTGCTGCGGCAGCTGCAGGTAAACACACCTGGATCAATGCTATTATTAATTGTATTACTGTTATCAGTTTCTTAAGATGTCCCCTGGTGTGCATGCAGAGCATCTGGCAGCAGGAGAGGGTTCCTCTGTGGATCAAACCCTATAAGATCATGGTGATGTCATCAGACAGCGGCATGATCGAACCGGTGCTCAACGCCGTGTCCCTGCACCAGGTGAGAAAACACACATACTGCAAATACTCTGAAGTACCAGGTGAGAAAACACACATACTGCAAATACTCTGAAGTACCAGGTGAGAAAACACACATACTGCAAATACTCTGAAGTACCAGGTGAGAAAACACACATACTGCAAATACTCTGAAGTACCAGGTGAGAAAACACACATACTGCAAATACTCTGAAGTACCAGGTGAGAAAACACACATACTGCAAATACTGCATATACTCTGAAGTACCAGGTGAGAATACACACATACTACAAATACTGCATATACTCTGAAGTACCAGGTGAGAATACACACATACTACAAATTCTCTGAAGTACCAGGTGAATACACACATACTACAAATACTCTGAAGTACCAGGTGAGAATACACACATACTGCAAATACTGCTTCTCTGAGTACTTAAAGCTCTGCACTATAATACCTGGTTGAGGTCCTTTGTTTTCCTCTCATGCTGCTTTCTACTTCTTTAGTCATTTCATAAATGAAGACACAAAACAATGACAGACATTTTATGACTCTCTCACCTGTCTCTCCTCTCTCACCTGTCTCTCACCTGTCTCTCCTCTCTCACCTGTCTCTCACCTGTCTCTCCTCTCTCACCTGTCTCTCCTCTCTCACCTGTCTCTCACCTGTCTCTCCTCTCTCACCTGTCTCTCACCTGTCTCTCCTCTCTCACCTGTCTCTCACCTGTCTCTCCTCTCCTCTCACCTGTCTCTCCTCTCTCACCTGTCTCTCCTCTCTCACCTGTCTCTCCTCTCTCACCTGTCTCTCCTCTCTCACCTGTCTCTCCTCTCTCACCTGTCCTCCTCTCTCACCTGTCCTCCTCTCTCACCTGTCCTCTCCTCTCTCACCTGTCTCTCACCTGTCTCTCCTCTCTCACCTGTCTCTCCTCTCTCACCTGTCTCTCACCTGTCTCTCCTCTCACCTGTCTCTCCTCTCTCACCTGTCTCTCCTCTCCTCTCACCTGTCTCTCCTCTCTCACCTGTCTCTCCTCTGTCTCTCACCTGTCTCTCCTCTCTCACCTGTCCCCCCTCTCTCACCTGTCTCCCCTCTCTCACCTGTCTCTCCTCTCTCACCTGTCTCCCCTCTCTCACCTGTCCTCCCCTCTCTCACCTGTCTCACCTCTCTCACCTGTCTCCCCTCTCTCACCTGTCTCTCCTCTCTCACCTGTCTCCCCTCTCTCACCTGTCCCCCCTCTCTCACCTGTCTCCCCTCTCTCACCTGTCTCTCCTCTCTCACCTCTCTCACCTGTCTCCCCTCTCTCACCTGTCTCTCCTCTCTCACCTCTCTCACCTGTCTCCCCTCTCTCACCTGTCTCTCCTCTCTCACCTGTCTCCCCTCTCTCACCTGTCCCCCCTCTCTCACCTGTCTCTCCTCTCTCCCCTCTCTCACCTCTCTCACCTGTCCCCCCCTCAGGTGCGTAAGCAGAGCCAGCTGTCCCTGATGGATTACTTCCTGCAGGAACATGGCAGCTTCACGACTGAAGAGTTCCTGTCGGCTCAGAGGAACTTCGTCCAGAGCGTCGCCGGATATTCACTGATCTGCTACCTGCTGCAGGTCAAAGACAGGTGAGGGGGCGGGGCTACCTGCTGCAGGTCAAAGACAGGTGAGGGGCGGGGCTACCTGCTGCAGGTCAAAGACAGGTGAGGGGCGGGGCTACCTGATGCAGGTCAAAGACAGGTGAGGGGGCGGGGCTACCTGATGCAGGTCAAAGACAGGTGAGGGGGCGGGGCTACCTGCTGCAGGTCAAAGACAGGTGAGGGGGCGGGGCTACCTGATGCAGGTCAAAGACAGGTGAGGGGGGGGGGGCTACCTGCTGCAGGTCAAAGACAGGTGAGGGGGCGGGGCTACCTGCTGCAGGTCAAAGACAGGTGAGGGGGCGGGCTACAGGTGAGGGGGTGGGGCTACCTGCTGGAGGTTAAAGACAGGTGAGGGGGCGGGGCTACCTGCTGCAGGTTAAAGACAGGTGAGGGGGCGGGGCTACCTGCTGCAGGTTAAAGACAGGTGAGGGGGCGAGGCTACCTGCTGCAGGTCAAAGACAGGTGAGGGGGCGGGGCTACCTGCTGCAGGTCAAATACAGGTGAGGGGGGCGGGGCTACCTGCTGCAGGTCAAAGACAGGTGAGGGGGCGGGGCTACCTGCTGCAGGTCAAAGACAGGTGAGGGGGCGGGGCTACCTGCTGCAGGTCAAAGACAGGTGAGGGGGGCGGGCTACCTGCTGCAGGTCAAAGACAGGTGAGGGGCGGGGCTACCTGCTGCAGGTCAAACAGGTGAGGGGGCGGGGCTACCTGCTGCAGGTCA